GAGAGAGAGAATGGAATAGAGGCTATTAAAGAGACAGTGAAAGAGAATTTTCCAGAAGTGATGAAATACACAAATCCATAATAAATTCAAATTAAAATAAATCCACACATGACCCAGCTATATGCTATCTACAGGAAATTCACTTCAAGTAAAACAATATAGGCAAGTTGAGAGTATAAAGATGGAAAAAGGTATACTGTGAAAACAATCAAAGGTAAACAGGAGTGGCTATATTAATTAAAAGTAGACTTCAGAGCAAAGAAAATTACCAGAGACAGAGAGGGATATTATGTAACAATAAAAGGGTAAAACCACCAATGTTCACTGCAGCACTATTGACAATAGCCATTTAGGTAGAAACAACCTAAATGTCCATCAACTGATGAATGGATAAACAAAATGTGCTACATACATACAATGGAATACTACTCAGCCAGAAAAATAAATGAAGTCCTGATACATGCTACAACATGGATGAACCTTGAAAACATTATGCTGAATGAAATAAGTCAATCACAAAAGGACAAATATTGTAATGCCTCACTTATATAAAATGACAAGAATAGGCAAATGTACAGAGAACAAAGTTTATTAGTAGTTACCAGGGGTGGGAGGGAGGGGGAGAAGGGGAGGCACTGTTTAGTAAGCAATGAGTTTCTGGTCATGGTGATGGGAAATTTGGCATTGATTAAGGGTAGTGGTTGCACAACCAATTAATGCAATTGATGTCACTAAGCTGTACACCTAAAAAAAGTTGAATTGGCAACTGTTGTGTGCTACATATTTTTACAACAACAACAACAAAAATAGTAACTGCTGCTGCTGTTTATGTACAACAAACACCTCATGGGATTTGTTTTCTTGGTTTGGAGGTTTAGGGTCATGGTTTCATGGGACATCCCAGTTAATTAGCCTAGTATCATTTTTAGTGCTTCTGTTCTACCTCCTAGTTCTCTGCATAGTGCCTAAGGTCTTAAAAGCTTCCAAGTGGCTACCCAAGGTACAACAATTGGTCTCTATTCACCTGGAGCAACAGACAAAGGAGAGTCAGGAATAGGAGAAGGATATGGAATGTGTGCTACTTGCCTCCATAAACAACTGCCTCCTTTGCCATGAGACCAGAAGAACTGGATGGTGCCCTGCTACCATTACTGAACTTTTTTTTCCTAATAATTTATTTTTGTTGTTGTTGTTAAGAATACACACAGCAGGACATACACCAATTCAATAATTTCTACATGTACAATTTGGTGACATTGATTACATTTGTTGAGGTGTGCAACCATTCTCACCTTCCTTTTCCAAGTTCTTCCTCCCTCATTAACATAAACTCACTGCCCCCTAAGTTTTCTATCTAATCTTTCTAGTTGCTGTTGTCAAGTTGATCGCATATAGATAGATCTTAAAAGAACTATAAAAATGGCATGAGGCAGCATCTGGCCTCCTCTGACTTCACAAGGGGGAAGGAGGATCAAGATCTACAGCACAAGGCTGATTGCTATGAGGTGGAGGTCAGACATGCCTTCTCTCTCTGCCATCTTTACCAATTCTTATACCAACTGTCCCTCCCAAGGCGCTCTCTACTTCTGTGCTGGGTCCGATAATTCATTGCAATGGCCACAAAGAACTCACAGACAATACTCATGATTATGGGGTTTATTAGGGAAGTAACAGGTTACAATTTAGGTTCAGGAACACTCAGGATACAGTTCTTCCATCAGGACAGCCTCTTCCCAGCCATGGGCATGCCTCTCTTTGGTCCCTAGGCCTCTGCCCTGCTCAGGCAAGTGTTACAAAGCACTTGTAGCTCCACCGGTAAGTACTCCAGGGCACGCTACTCCACCAGCAAGCCTCCTGCCTAAAGGCACTCAGCTTTCTCCCTCTGTGGGCTCGGAAGCCCACCACACCATCTCCTGCCAGTCTTTCCTGCTGCCATTTCTCTGCCACCACTTCTCGCTGTCTTCAGTGTTGTAGCTCTCTCTTTCTCTCTCTGTCTCCTGGTTCCAGAAGCTTCTCAGCGCAGGGATCCCAGGTCCAAAAGACATGCTCTGCTGTTGGCCCTTCTTCCTTGGTGGTGGTGAGATCCTCTCTTTGCTCTGGAATTGGCTCTCTTTTAAGCCTAGCAGGATGGCAAAACTGACCAATCCCCTTGGTGGGCCACAATTACCTTATTTGCACAGTCCCACCCGATCACTTGGATGGGAGTTACAAAACCATGGTGAGAAAGGCCACACAAAAGCAATCCATCACACAGTAAAAGCACAATGCTCAAGACAGACATTCTTTGCTAGTTAAGCTAAACTATTGTTTGGTTTTAATAAGACTTCAGGGGGTATTTTTGGTTTAAGGTTTAAAGGTTATATCAGGGCAATAGTTTCACGGGTTCAGCCAGCCTCCATGGCTTCAGAAAATCTGGATTCCATGAGAATTTGAAATTCTGTTCTTCATTTTTCCCTTCTGATCAGGATTCTTCTATAGAATCCTTGATCAAATGTTCAGTAATGGTAGCCAGGCACCATTCAGTTCTTCTGGTCTCATGGCAAAGGCAGCAGTTGTTCATGGAGGCAATTAGCCACACATTCTGTAAAACCAAACTCATTGCCATCGAGTCAATTCCAACTCATAGCGACCCTATAGGACAGAGTAGAACTGCCTCATAGGGTTTCCAAGGAGTGGCTAGTGGATTCGAACTGCTGACCTTTTGGTTAGTGGCCAAGCTCTTAACCATTGTGCCACCAGGGAGACGTATGCACACCCATGTTCATTGCAGTATTATTCACAATAGCAAAAAGATGGAAACAACCTAAGTGCCTATCAGTGGATGAATGGATAAACAAACTGCAGTACATAAACACAATGGAATACTACGTAATGATAAAGAATAATGATGAATCCACGAAACATCTCACAACATGGATGAATCTGGAAGACATTATGCTGAGTGAAATAAGTCAATCACAAAAGGACAAATATTCTATGAGATCACTGTTATAAATAGTCAAGAAAAGGTTTATACACAGAAAGGGGCATATTTTGATGGTTACCAGGGATGGGAGAGGGAGGGAAGGAAAATCATAAACTAGAGAGTACACATGTGTTAACTTTGGTGAAGGGAAAGGCAATACACAATATGAGGAAAGTCAGCACAACATGACCACGGCAAGGGAACACACTGAGAGATATACAAGAATAAAAGGCAATGACAATAAATCTATAACATATACAATCGTGCAACAATAGTAATAACAAATAGTAATTTATGAGTGGATACATAGGTAGATATGTATGCCGAATAGGTGTGGGAGGGCATATGGGAGTACGCACAAGTGTATATATAGGCTCGGTGCACTGCTGGTACAATGGTTAAGCATTAGGCTGCTAACCAAAGGGTCGGCAGTTTGAATCCACCAGCCACTCCTTGGAAATCCTATGGGGCAGTTCTCAGTCCTATACTGTTGCTATGAGTCAGAATTGACTCAACAGCAACAGGTTTGGTTTTTCTGGTGGATATTTCTACATACATATTTGTATGTGCTGCACGTATATTCACATACATAATAGAGCACACAGAGGGCACAGTCATGGAAACACCTCAAGGGACTGAGTTACTGGGCTTGAGAGCTAAGGACCATAGTCTCGGGGGACATCTAGGTCAACTCACATAACATAGTTCATAAAGGCAACATTCTACAGCCTACTTTGATGAGTAATGTCTGGGGTCTTAAAAGCTTGCGAGCGGCCATCTAAGATAAAACTTTTGGTCTCTCTCCATCCGGAGCAGAGGAGAGTGAAGAAAACCAAAGACTCAAGGAAAACAATTAGTCCAAAGGACTAACGGACCACAGAAACCACTGCCTCCACTAGCCTGAGACCAGAAGAACCAGATGGTGCCCAAATACCACTACCAACCACTCTGACCAGGATCACTATAGAAGGTCCCAGTTAGGGTGGGAAAAAAATGTAGAACAAAATTCAAATTCATAAAAAAGACCACATTTACTGGTCCAAGAGAGACTTGAGGAACGCCGGAGACTGTGACCCTTAGACACCCTTCTTTTATATATATATTTTATTATTGTACTTTAGATGAAGGTTTACAGAACAAACTAGCCTCTCATTAAACAATTAGTACACACTGTTTTGTGACATTGGCTACCAACCCTACAACATGTCAACACTCTCCCCTTCTCGACCTATTACCAGCTTTCCTGCTTAGACACCCTTCTACCTTGGAACTGAAGCCATTCCCAGAGATCACTTTTCAGCTAAACTATGAGCAGGCCTACAAAATGAACAATAACACGCGTGAGGAAATGCTCCTTAGAACAATCATCTGTATGAGACCAAAAGGGCAACATCTGCCCAAAAGCAAAGATGAGAAGGCAGGAAGGGGCAGGGAAACCAGACAAATGGAAATGGCGAACTCAGGGTAGTAATGGCGAGAGTACTGACATATTGCAGGGAATCCAGCCAATGTCACGGGGCAATTTGTGTGTAAATTACTGAGTGGGAAACTAATTTGCTCTGTAAACCCTCACCTAAAGCACAATAAAAAAAGAAAACTCTATGGAACACAGTTCTACTCTGACACACATGGGGTCACATGAGTCGGTACTGTTCAATGAGAAGAATGATGTTAAACAGTTCTCCAAATGCACATTTTCCCAATCTCAGATCTTTATTCACCATCCCTTCAAACTCAATTAATGTAATTTCCCCCCTCAAAAAGCCTGGTTTTTCAACTTATGCCAGATTTGCGCACAAGCCACTCTATTATCTCCTACTCACACCGCCAGGAAAGCTCTGAGTGTTTTTGGCTTTCATCCCTTGTTGTTGTTCTTGGGTGCCAGTAAGTTGATTTCAACTCATAGTGACCCCTTGCCCTCTCCATATCCATCCCTACTCACAGCTCAGCCATCCCCACCCGACAAGCTTTATGGAGAAACAACTCATGTGGAGAACACAACGACCTTCTACTTCTATTACTGAAACGGTGCTATATAGCTTGTGAAAAAGAGGACTCAAAAAGTTATTAATGAACTCACGAATGTTTCTCTCCACGCTAATCTTTAGTAGAAGACCAAAGATTTATAAGGTCTGAAGAGAAATCAGAGTATAGTTAGCTGCTTTTGCCACTCTTTCCTTAACCTACTGCAGTTCTCCAAAAAGTGAGGTTGTCTATTTATTCCTGTGCTACAGCCACACCACCAGGAAAATATGTTGTTGTTGTTAGGTGTCGTCGAGTTGGTTCCGACTCCTAGTGACCCTGTGTACAACAGAACAAAACACTGCCCGGTCCTGTGCCGTTCTCACAAATATACCAGAGTATATTTGTCACTGTCATGCTCATCTTCCCAGGTTTTGGCTGGTCCCCCATCAATTGGGGTGCCTTTGCAGGTACCAGCAAGAGCTTTTCTTCCATTGTAGAGAATTATCCCAAACATATTCTCACTGGGTGAAATCTCCTGACAAGGAAGTAGAGAGATAATTATGATTATTCAAACAAATAATACTGGTAATAGTGCTCATGTGTCTACATTGCATTCTCGTATGCAAATAAGCTAGTCAGGGGAGCCAGATTTTCCCCGAGGAGTAAACGGAGATAGAGAAATACCACATTTACTCCTGGGGGGAGAGGGCATGGCTCTAAGTCTTGTTTTCCATGTAGCAAGCACATATGTTCAGAGTATTTACCCCATCGGGCAGTGTCATCATTAACAATCCAGCCCCTTCTAGCCCTGCTTCTCTATGGCTCCTTTCTCTTCTTTACAAAAATAATCAGACCCCCCGCCTCTGCCATCTTCCCAGGCACTGCCACAGCCCCTCTACTGACCTCATAGCACTTGTCCCCATATTGTCACTGCCTGTTTGTACATGCTCAAGGAAAGCTAATTGAATGAATGAATTCATCCTTGTATCCTCAACACCCAGTGCAGTGCCTGGCACAATAGACATGCAATGCAGGCTTGCCGAAAGGCTGAGTGAAAGCCGGAATGAATGAATGACTGTAAAGTAGCCACAGAAAAGCCCTGCAAGAAATGCCTCTCAATAAATTATAGTTCCTTCCTGGTTCCTAACCAAATCTTTCCCTCCTTTCACTTCTACCACTTCCCAGCTGTGGGACCTTAGGCAAAGTGCTTAACTTTTCTGTGCCTCAGTTCCTCAAATGTAAAATAGGATATCAGTCATGGGATTACTGCAAAGCTAACCTCATTTGGCTATGGTGAAACTTCAATGGGATACTGTCTGGAGACCCCTCCTCAGCATAGTGCCTAGGCAAAGAGAGTCTCAATAACCGTTAAAAAGAAAGAAAAGTTTCTCTAAACTGCTGCCCACCTTGCTTCTCCCATTTCTCATTTCCTGCCATGCACCCCACCCACTTGCTCTTACTCCTTGTCTTCCCCCATCCTTGCCTCCCTTTGAAGACCCAGCCCCTCCCTCCCTCCAAGAAACCTTCTGGACTCTTCCAAGCAGAAGGTGGCACCCCCACCCCAACCCCCGCCCCCCCCCCACACACACACCCGGCCTCCCCCACCCCCCACCCCGTGGGGCCTCTCAGCCTCCAGGCCTCCTTGACTAATAGGCTCACAGGTCCTCCCCCTTGGCTTGTTCTGTGAGCCCTGGAGACTCGGCCTCCTCCTCCTCTTTAACCGTAAGCTCCACGAGGGCAGGACTGAGGTGTTGCTTCCCAACTCCCCCCACACCTTGCCCAGTGCTGGGCAGTAACAGGTGCTACGAAAAGTAGATGAAACGGCTGGGCTGGGCGTAGGGGTAAGCCACTTCGTTAAGGGCTCTTTGCTTTCTGGCGGAAAGGGGGTGGTGGGGGGCGGGGGGAGTGTGTGTGTTGGCCTCTCCAACACCTCTCCTTTCCCCAGCCATCGAGCTGATCAAGGACCTGGTCAACTATGACGTGCGCAAGACGCTGCTCCAGGGCCTCGTGGCGCTGCTGATACCGTCGGTCAAGGAGACCTCCAAACTGCAGCCCAAGATCCTCAACGGTAGGGGAAGCGAGGGGGCGGCTGGGGCGTCAGGGCACCCGGGGGAGTGGAGGTGCCTCCTGCCTCACGGCCGCTCCCTTCCCAGACTCCTCGGTGCTCCACCTCACCGCCCACCTGCCGGTGTTCTTGCAGCAGGCCGCGGCCGCCAAGGCCATCGGGTAAGGGGGCAGGCGGTAGCGGGTGGATGCAGCAAGCCCGGCTCGGCGCTGCCTGCGGGGTCCGGGAGAGCACCGGGGGCAGTGTGCGGGGTGGGCGTGGGAGAGTCCCAAGGCGCTGCGGCAGCCTGAGTCCCCGGCCCAGGGTCCTGGCGCGCAGCAACCTAAGCATCGCCGAGGAGCTGCTGCACTTGCGCGTGGTGCACAGTTTGATGGCCGCCATGGGCAACACCGACCACAGCAACAGCCAGCGGCTGGCCAGCCTCACGCTGGAGGTTAGTGGGCCGCAGCGGGTGCCTGGGGTGGGTGCCTGGCGCTGGTACGGGCAGTCACGCCCCCTCTCCCTGGCCGCAGTACTTCGTGCAGATGTTCCCAGTGGTGGAGGAGCACGTGCGCAGGAGCATGGGGGAGGAGCTTTACAATCTCTTCACGGTAAGTGCCACCACCCGCCCGGCCACAAAGAGCAGCAGTTGCCTTAGACAGAATGGTGCCCCGATTACACAGCTCCTACCCCGGTATACACCCACACACGGAATGGGCCTGGTTACCAGCTGCTGGAGGGCCTGCCTTGGCTTGGGCCCCTCCACCTGGCCTCTTTCCGTTCCCTTTCCTGCCCTTCCATCAGCTGGGTGCCTGCCCCGGCCTGCACCATCCCTCTGCCCAAGCCCAGCTCCAAGTCCAGACTGCTCTGCCACCCCAGCTCTCGCTTCTGTCCTCAGAGCAATGCCGAGGACTTGTACATGAAAATGGACAGCATTCAGGCGGACATCTTGGCAGCCAACAAAGTCAATGTTACCAAAGGTGAGTAGGAGCAAGGGGGCCTGGAGTGGAGGTGCAGGCAGCACCCAGACTCATGCTCTCCTTGTCTGCCTCCAGCCTTACACGACTCTGGCGTCTACACCAACATGAGCTTTTACTTGGGCCCTTCTGTAAATGAGAATCATCTGGCTTACATCACACACTTCCAGAAGAGGAATATGGAAGCAAAGGGGGAACAGAGCCCATGAGGCCACCCAGGAAAACCAAGGCAGGAAAGCCTGGCAGTAGGAAGGCACCTGGGCCAAGCTCAAGGTGCTCCACTTGGCCCTGACTGGGAGGCTGGGGGTTAGGCACCATAGGGGGAGAGGGAGAGTGCTCGCTGGGAAAAGTTCAATAAACAGTCTTACTATCTTTGTAGTTCTCTGTGTGTGGAGGGGGAAGGGAGATCAAATGAGAGCGAGGTTGATGAGTTGGGGTAGCTCTGCTCACCAAGGAAAAAAGCAGACCAGGATGGAAGGGTCACCAATATCCTGGAAGGTTCCAGGGCATGGCCTGAGGAGAGGGCCTCACCTCAGCTCCCTGCTGGTCCCAGGAGAAAGTCCATGACACCACACATGCCTGTTTTGTTTTTTTTTCCTACCACTCTGGTTGCTTCCTCTCATTCTCTTTTGCTAATTCCTTCTCCTCAACCCAGCCTCCTTCAAGTTGGACTGATGCAAGATTCTGACCTTGAGCCTTGTCTCTTTGAGCCTTTTACACCTTGATGATCTCATCCAGTCTCAGAGCTTTAAATACCATGTATATGTTGACTCCCACATTTGTTTCCTGCTTAACATTTCTACCTCATGTGTCCAAAACCGAACTCCTGATCCAGTGCCACCCACAACCTCCCCTGTCTCAACTGATGGCAACTATCCTTCCTGTCAGAAGAAAATAGTGCAGTTCTCCTTGATGTCTCTCTTAAACACCCACATCTTTTCTGTCTGTTGGCTCTACCTTCCAAATATATCCAGAATCCAACCATTATGTCAGTACTTCATTGCTGATAGAAACCATTGTCTCTGTTTTCCACCATTTTCTTTTTAGTTCAGCAACCAGAGAGGTCCTTTTAAACTTTAGATAGTATCACTCTGCTAAAACCCTGCAGTGGCTCTCCATTTCACTGAGAGTAAAAGCTAAGATCCTTACTGTGCCCTGCAAGGCCCTAAGTGAGCTGGTCTCTCGTTACCTCTGAGCCCATCTACTTTCCATCTCCTTCACCCTGCTCCCGCTACGCTGGCCTCCAGAGCTGTTTCTTTTTTTTTTAATTGTACTTTAGATGGTTTACAGAACAAATAGTTTCTCATTAAACAGTTAGTACACATATTGTTTTATGACGATGGTTAACAACCCCACAACATGTCAACACTGTCCTTTTTCAACCTTGGGTTCCCTATTACCAGCTTTCCTGTCCTCTCCTGCCTTCTAGTCCTTGTCCCTGCACTGTTGTGCCCCATTAGTCTCGTTTTGTTT